TGGTGGAAAAAGTGCTCTTTCAGAGCTATAAAGAAGAAAGAGTGATTCATGCATTAAAATTATGCCAAAAAGAATTTTTAAAAGTACTATGTGTGAAATGAAGTATATAATTACAGTGTGGCTCAGGTGTGAGTGATACCGCATTATCCTATTATAAACCCAAATGTGAATTTATTCAGATACGTGAAAGACTTGTGAGATTAACTGTTTTGTGAGATGGAGAACAGAAAAAGTTATTGTCAAAGTGTTACCTTTTTACCTTTGTCGATAGAAAGATGAGTGATAATTTTAGATTTAATAAATTAAGAAATAACTATAAATGTTTTATTTAGAATATGTAAATTGGTATATATCAGAAGTTTAAAAGAATATCTGGGGGTTGGACTTAGGACTTAGAAAGAGTTAAATAAGAGACAGCTGCTCTGGTTATAAGACCTGTAGTAAGTGTATATTTTTGGTTAAATGAAAATATTAAGGGAAGTTAAATAAGAATGTTTGGCTATAGCTTGCTTCTCTAAAGATTTTCTGCAAATTTGTTTTAGGAGAAGACTTTAAAAACAGGACATCTCATTTAATGGTGAAGAGGAGTGCGCATACTATCTGGGAGGGGGTCCATTGCCTGGAAGCGAATATAAATTAAAGAGAACTGAATGTGCGGGCCTCCCTGGTGCTGCAAGGGGTTAAGTCTCAGCACTCTGAAGCTATCTGCAGCCACTGCAGCATGAGTTTGATCCCCAGGCTGGCCAGGGAGCTACCCACACGGTGCAGCAGACCTCTCCCGACTCACCCACTGCTCTCCTCAGCAGTGTATTTGAATATACTGTGGGATTAAAACTGGGAAGGCCATTCATAAGTAACTAGAGTGTCAAGTGCAACTGAGTTTAACTCAGAAGGTAGTTGTCAATGATGGATTTATGAAGACGTACGGCATTTGTAAAAAACAATCACATCTCAGTTTTCTAAAGTCTGTGTAGCCACAAGAAGAAACGTGAACTAGAGACCGTTTTCTGGGCAATCAGTTCAATTCCCAACCTATCAGTTTTCTTTTCAGTTGTGAAATGCAGGAATTTGGGAAATAATATTTCAGATAAGTCCTTTAAAAATGTAGGCATGGCTTGCTCTGTGTGAACCTTCTAGTTCCTACTGGAATTTCCTTTAAAAATGGAATTCTTTGCCATCTCAGACAACTGAGTCATATTATTACAGAAGAAAATCACATTATTTCCCATTCTCTCTCTCTCTCTCTCTCTCTCTCTCTCTCTCTCTTTCTCCCCCTCCCTCCCTCCCTCCTCCCCATAGCCTGACTAATTCAGCTAGTCTTTAATCTTCTATAAACATGTGAATTTTATTCATTGTAGTACCTTGCTTGTCCTTAAAAACAATATTTCTAGGTCTCATCCCAGTTTTCTTCTTCAGGCCCATAAAAGAGACCCTGCTATGCTGTGTCTTTCTAAAGTTGAAAAACACCTCCACGTGCAGTCATGACTGTGCTAGAAAGAATGTTTACACATAGACCTTGTTTGCCTCTGGCTTTGTGATATTTGTTATGTCACCAGGTTTAATGGCTGTGATCGCTTGCTTAGCCCACTTTTCCCAGTTGTTAGGAAGGTGAACTCGCTTTGAGACACTCACAGTGCCAGTGCCAGTGCCAAGGTACCCCCAAAGACCTTCAAGTACCTCCCGGTGCCAGCATAGCCTGACCTGTTCTCCCACAGGTGCTGGAGTGGGGACATGGCAGAGCCAACTCTTGCCCTGGCCTGGAAGATGTTAGGCTTATTAACCACCAAGAGTGATTCTGTCCGCCATGAAGTGGAAAAGTTTTCACTAGATTAGTAGTATGGCTTGTTCCTGTTGTAAAATTCTATGACAAAGTATCAAACTCGAAAATGTTTGTTTTGTGATGAAAATAAACCAGACTTCTAAGTATTGAGCAAGCCTGTGGCATGCGGTACAGGTGTTTCCAGCTGGGCCTGAGGAGATCCCGCTGGACCATTTTGCTCCTTTTGCGCCAGTCGGCCACCTGACATCTGTGTGCCATGTAAGACAAGAGGAAGTGAAAAGTGTTTTTGAAAAGTCATTTCTACTCATGGAAAAGTACCTCAACAATTCCCAGGGGACTGTTGAGGATAGGAGGTAAAGGGGAGGCAGGGATGTCACCATTTCACATAAAAGAAACAGCATGCTCTCAAGTAAAAGGTAAAAAAAAATTGTATTTAGTGACGCAATCACTTAAGCATTTCCCCTAGGGCTTGTACCCTATTTTAGTAAAAAAAGATCAGCTCTTTCCATTGATGTACCTAAAATCGGCTTTCAAAAGAAAGAAAAGAAACTTCTAAAATACCAGGAGGGGAGAGGAGGAGAGCGTGTCTGTGTAAGACACCGATAACCTCATCTGGAAAGTAATTTCATGTGTCGGAGAGGTAATTTTCCCCTTGTCTTTGTGGCACTTTAACAAGAATATAACAGATTTATCTAGCTACTTGAACAAGTTACAATAACCACAGGGAGTGTTGGCAATTTAGGTGCATTTGAGAGATGGTGAATATCTGGGATTCATTTTTTTCTTTCCGGTAATCTCAGGATTCTTGACAGAACCATCTTATTTTCTGACTTCAGGGACCTGCCCACGTGAGGCCTTTTGAGTATCTCTTTATTCAAATGCAGTTAGATTTGCTATTTACAAATTATCCACTTGGGATGAAGTCATATCATAAATGTTGGTGGATAGATGACCAGCACCGGCAGGAAGCGGGGAGGGTATAGGGGCAGCCATGGATTTTGGCATGCTGCACTAGGCAGATTTCATAGAAACAGAAAAACAAAATTAGTCAATTGGTATACATACTATTGCAAATAAATATAATTTCCTTAAGAAATTGTAACTGGAATTATCACATGACCCAACAGTCCCACTCTGGGTATGTGTGTAAAGGAAATAAGAGCAGCACATTGAAGCGATTTCTACAAACCTATTTTCACTGCAGCATTATTCACAATATCCAAGCTATGGACGCACGTAAGTGTCCATCAGTTAGTGAATGGGTAAAGAAGACGTGTGTGTATGTATGACATGTACCCTTCAGTCAGGAGAAAAGAGGAAATCCCACCATTGCAACAAAGTGGATAGACTTTGAGGGCATTATACTAAATGAAATGAGTCAGGCAGAGAAAGAAAAGGACTGCAGGATGTCACTTACATGTCGAATTAAAGCAAAATGTTAAATGAATAGAAACAGTGTAAAAGTGGCTGCCAGAGCCTAGGGGGGTGGGCGAGATAGAAGAGGCTGGTGAAAAGCTACTTTCAGCTATAAAATGAATAAAGTCTGGGGATCTAATGTAAAACATGGTGACTACAATTAATAACACTATCATATAATTGAAATTTGCTAATAAAGTAAAATGTAATTGTTCACACACACACAGAAAGATAAATATGTGAAGTGATGAGTGTGTTAATTAACCGGATGGGAGGAGTCTTTTTGCAGTGTATATGTGTATCAAATCACCGCAATATACACTTTAAATATCTTACCATTTAATATGTAACTACATCTCAGTAAAGCTGAAACTAGAGAAAAAAATAGACCAATAAAGGGGGAATGAATATAAAATCATTATGTAACCTTAAAATCTATAGCCCTAGGATATTTTAATAAACAATTTGCTTTCACACAGTATAAAAAACGTCCTTAGGTCTGACTGCAGTTGGCTTCTGGTTTCACACAGATCTCTGAGGTATTTGTCTTTCCTGGAGCTTCTGCCTATGCAGTTGCCTGACTTCTTGCTTTTCCTGCCTTGAATCATGAATTCATAAAGCATGAGTTGGTAAAATCACTACACATTATCTTGTGCTTTGTTCTATCCAATAATTGGTCTTTCGGGCTTCACTTGACTAATTCAAAAGCTAGAGAATTGTGTTTTACAAGGCACCTCAATCCATTTTGAGGCAACACTAATTGTTTTCATTTTTTGTGTCAGAATCTTTCTCTTTGTAACTTATTAGTTCTAGGTCCTTGCTCTTGAGCCCCATTCTTATTGAAATCATCTATTGTGTTCCTCCCTATCCACGCACCATATACTCAGCTATTCTATCCACTTGTTATTTAACACAAAAATGTTTAAAATTATTAACATTTCAAAATCTTGTTTCATCTCTACGGTGTCTTTTTCATACAGGAAAACAGTTTTTGTTCTTTTCTCCTGATAGAAGTTCTTTTAGGTTTGCTACTCCAAGGTCTAACCTGCCTGTCTACCAGCTCTGCCCCACCTCACTCTGCCCCCACACTGTAATCAGCATCACAGTGTGATCTTGACAATTACCTGGAAGGCCTCTGGATGTACCAGTCTTGCCACCACTCCAAGCTCCACTGGTTGTAAACCTGTTTTCTGACAGGAGCTAAAGCAATCTCACAAATGAGAAGTCAAGGAATATTTTTGTTTGGCTGAATTCTAAACACTAGGGCATTTATTTGCTTTGTTCTGCTATTACTTTTATAATACATCCATGCTCCAATGACCACCTTTCCAATGTCTTCGAAAGTTTAATTAATATTTACCCTGCTGAATGGCATCTTTATGAGGACCTCTATTGAAAGGTGAAATTAATTTGGTGATTTGTATTCTAGTCTGGATGTTCAGTTGTCCCATGATGCTCAATGTAGTGCATTGATGTGATATGATCAGCAAGATCTATATGCTTGTTAGGTTATGGTCTTTAAAAAAGAAATAACCTTTAGCCAAATCTAAAAACAAATGGTGGAGGGGATTATTCTCTGAGGTTCCTAGGAATTATGCCCCAAAGGCATTATTTTCTGAAAATTAATATTAGGCTGTTTTTCCTTTATACTCTTCACAAGAGTTCGCAGAGAAAATCGAGATGAGCAATTTGGATGAGAACAAACATTTCATTACTTTATTAATCAAGCAAACAAAAAATTGAGAATATAAGGTGTTCTACCAAGAATATTTTCATCCCAGTAAAATCAAGATCTTCCCTCTAGTCCTTAGAAAGAAATTGGAAGTTAATCCGCGATGAAGGTCTTGCAGTCATGGATAAAGCCCAAGGCCTCTTCCTGCCTGAAGATGAGAACCTGAGAGAGAAGGGCGATTGGAGCCAGTTTACTCTATGGCAGCAAGGTGAGCTCCTGACTCCAGATGGTTCTCTACAACCTGACAGAAACTGGCCATGAATCTTCTGGTGATATTCCCCAAAGCCCAGATTCCCTCACTTTAAGGGAAAGTGCCCAGAAACCCTAGATTATCAAAAATCCATTCATTTTTTAAAAAACCTACTTATGAACACTTCGGTATGTGTATATTTAGATGTGTGTGTGTATACTTAAACATGTATTTGGATAAACATATATAAATAGGGTTTGATTTCCCTGGTCTTGCCTGTTAAGCAGTGTGTTACAAATGACACTCTTCTAGGGCCTCCCCGGTGGCGCAGCGGTTAAGTGCTGGGTTGCGAAGCTGCCCGCAGCCTCTGCAGCGCCAGTTTAATGCCTGACTGCTGGGCGAGGGTCCCACATGGCACGCAGACCTCTCCTGCCACCCGCTGCTTCCCTCAGCAGTGTACTTCGTCACTCTGCCTGTTCTACTCTCCACTCTGGCTCTGGTGAATTCTCTCACCCTCCCGTGCCTCTGACTGTACCCAGTGCTTGTATTAATAAATAAATCTTTAAAAAAAAAACCCACACAACAAATGACACTCTTCTATACTGAGAAGTTCACCGTGTGCTTATCAGTGTCTTAGAAAAGAGAGTCCCTGAGCCTCATTCACTCCTGGAAAATGCAGGTGACATTGCATGCCAAGATGATATCACCATAGAAGATTGTTAGAGATGATAAAACAAGACAACGGGGGCCTCCATGGTAAATGAGGTAACAATGTACAAGGGGTTAAAATGCAGCACTATGAAGTAATCCGTAGCCACTGCAGCACAAGTTCAATCCCTAGCCAGGGAGCTACACACATGGCACAGCAGACCTCTCCTGTCTCACCTGCTGCTTCCCTCAGCAGTGTATTTCAGAAAATCTGCCTGTTCTGTTCCCCACTCTGTCCCTGGTGAATCCTCTCACCCCCCGCATCTCTGGCCTGCACCATAGCTCTTGTATACATAAATAAATAAATCTTAAAAAATAAAACAAGACAACAGTAACTGTTGTCTGAGCTCTTCAAGAATAAGAAGTGGTTTATATTCAACCTAATATCCTTTGAGCTGAACCCAGCCTGGGCACACAGATGTGAGTTAATAGTCAGTCTATCCTTAACATGAGGACCATTGCATTTTATCTGAAAGTCTCTTTCCAGTGATCTTGAAAAATCAGGTTAACCTGGCTAACAAGAGCTACATAAAAGTAAATCTATTTTGAGAACTAAACAGATGTGCTGCACATCTTTACCTACACAAAATAAATTGAGAGGAGAATAAGCAGTTGGTTTACATTAAAGGACAAGAAAGCACGGTTTATCTCAATGATGCTTTCAGAATGGCTTGCATGTAAGAGAGGAAACTAGTTCCGTAATATTTTCAAGGAAACTTCAGGAGAGAAATCATGTCATCTCAAGTGACTGTCAGATTTTCACCAACAAAATTTTTGTAATGTAGCTATAAGGTCAACAGGTGAACAACTTGCTAATTTTATCTGTTGGCATCTCACTAAAATGAGTCAAGTCTGTTGGCCTTAAGTGTTCAGCACTTCATCTGATGCCTCCATTCCTCCGCTGTGAAACAAGACACAACTAGCACCTCCTTAAACAGGTGTGTGGGCATCAGATGAATCATTCTAGGATGCCCAGCGTCATGGCCCATTGTGAGCACCAGGAGACTGTTATTGGATTCCTGCCCCCTCACAATCATGTGTGACTAGTAAAAAGTACCAGTGGCAATCAGGAATGTTGGGCATCTATTATATAGCTTCCCCCTCTCCCAAGGACCAGAAACGATGAGTGTAAAGGACTGGTTGCTTTCTAGTCCAGTCCTGACCAGGGGGCAATCACTTGGATATTGACCCATTCATTACTTATCTTTCAATTAAGTTATACCTGCTCTTCCAGTGACACGTGCTCAGCCCTCACTACTGCAGCCTTGGGAAATCCAGCCACCTCTGCTTGCTCCTTAAGCCATCAGACTTCATTTAAACACTGCACATAGCACAGAACCCAGAATTGGGGACTCTTGCCAAGCCATCCCCATATTCTGCATATGGGCAGACAGGGAAAGTAGTACTGGAAAATGCTTTAGGATGAGTTATACAGGAATTTATTTGTTCAAACTGTTATTTATCATTCATTTCATTTGGAGTACTGTATTAGTGACTAAAATTAGCAACTAAGATTTTAGTCAATTGAAAGGTAAAAAGATAACCTAGAAAAAGCTAATATACATGTGGAGGTTGTTTGCTAAAGTATTGTGGTCCAGAGATACTATGAGTAGGAGTCATAGCAAAGGTGAGCTTCTGGAAGCCATGCATTCTGCAGCTGGGGGATGGCAGCTGCTGGCACTTGTTCTGTAGTGCAGCCTACCTCTCATGTGTTCCCTGGTGATGCCCAGCTGGTGGGTGCCCGGGGACAGTTTGACCCTGCACAAGGAGATATTAGCAGCACAATTAAAGATCAAAAAATTGTGGGTGAGCTTCCTAACCCGAAGAACAAGAAAATATAAAGGCAGCAACAGAAAGAACAGCAACATCTTTCTTGCAGACTGAACAGAAATGTTTTCTGAAAACAAATATATTGAATGAATTGAAAAAATGCCAATAAATAGAAAACTCAGACAAAACCAAAATCAAGTAATAGTTGACTTGATTTCACTTAACAATGTGTGGTAGTGGTTGTTCTGTAAACTTTTTTATTGAGCATTTTAGCAAAGATTTGAAAGATGATTTGCTCTGCAGTCTTAAAGGACAGGGATACAATAGTAGTAAACAGTTGTGAAAGTTTAATGTTAACTACCAGTGTTTACTTTCCGGTCATTTCCTTCACTTGAGAGGTGTTTTGACCATTCAGATTGTGGAGGATGAAAGAAACTGTGTGTTCCTGGAGACTCCATTTCTGTGTGGAATGGAGAAGTCTTTTGTAGAGTTAACAGTTAAAACTGAAGAGAACAATACCCAAATAATGTTTGTCTTTCCTCTTGTAAGAGTTAATCTGGTATTTTGTGACTAATCCCAGAAGTCCAAAGTACTTGATGTTTTATATACTATCAAGCTTCAAGTCATTGTCATCATTTGATAAGAATATTTTTGGTTGTTGTAGCCTACTTTGGCATTTTAGTAATTTCAGTACGAGTTTCTGTATCTCTTCAGTTGGTGTCCAATCAATGGCAGGAAATTCCTGCATCCGGAATTTTCAGAATTGATGTCATGTCCACTTCCATTTCTAGATTTGGGGTTTAAAAATTGTATCCATGGAAATATATTTCTGGAGAGAATGTTATCAAAGAATCTGTTAATATCCTCACTCAAATTTCCAGACTTTCTACCATTTGTACTGGTGGCAGCAAATGAAGAAACACTTCAGACATGTTGTTCCTTTAGCTATGTTACCACCACAAGCTCCGTTCGAGATTCATTGTGGTATCATTCCCACTGCCCCACCTACAAGCGGGACATTTTAGGGATTTCTTACTGATTGATACATGAAGGAAGCAGTTCATTGATGTCCTGGGTTTTGCAGTTAAGAGATGCCGCTTGTGTTTACCCAGGGATGACAGCCTGATTGCAAATGAACTTTTGAAAACTCATGATAGGAAGGTAAATATTGCAATCCTGTTTTCTAGAAGCATTGATTCCATGGTTAGTGCAACCATTGCTGACTGTCAGATCACTTTAAATGAACTATCAATAGTTGATGTTCTTAATGTGATTTTCATGACTAAAGAAAGGACCGTATCAGCTAGTTTTAACAATAAAAGGTAAAAACAGAAAAATCATTGTGAAACCCCTTCTAAAGAATCTAAAAATGCTGCTGCTGCTAACAGTCTGAATAAGCAATTCAGTGTACTGGATCGAATCATGGGAAGAGCGGGACTAAAGGAACTACATGCTGCTTGCCCTTCCCGGATTTGGTATTTTGTTAAAATGGATGTTTTTTTGGAAGAACTGCACTAATTAAAAAGAACTCTTGGATATAGCTGGGAATGATAGCAGTGGCTGTACAGTCAGGTTTTCTAAAGGAATTGGTTGGGTAACATCTAGGATAAAGTGAAACAAAGGTAATTCTTATTGCAAATGATGCAAATGAACAATTTATAGGTTATTCTTGTTATTGTGTCCTCTTCAGACACTTGGGCTAGAAGAATTTAATCAGTATATTGAGATGGAACCCGGCTGAATTTCTTCTAGAAATCTTGGTCATGATGACAAAGTTATTGGCAATCATGGAAAAGAAAATTTCCTTTCCTGGGTGAAAATATTGTCTCCTTTCTAAATTCCCTATCAGTTCAGGGAAAAGCAATCTTGACTTTACCCCATGGAATTGGTGAAAAACTAACTTTGTACCTCTCAGCAATAGAACTTGTAGGTTTAATAGCCTCTACTTTTTTTTGGAAACAGGCCATACAATTTGGATTTAGAATTCAAAAGTGGAAAAGAACGATGAAAAGGCATCTGATAAATGTGTCATTTCCTTAGAAAACCTTTCTCATGAGAAGGAGATTAAAACATGATTTGACCCTGCCCTGTGACATCATTTACTGAGTGATGATTATATTTAAAAAAAAAAAACCTCTACTGCTTTAAAAAATGAATAAAGTATTAAGTATTAATACTTTATGTATTTAATTTAGTATTTTAATATTTAAATTAAATATTTAAATTAATGTTTTAATTTAATTTTAAATATTTAATTTAATAATTTAGTATTTACTTTAAGTATTATTTAATTTAATAAAGTATTTAATACTTTATTAAATGAATAAAATATTTCATTTGATTGAGAATACCTGTAAGTTTCTTTTCTTACGAATTTCATTTCATTCTCGGTATATGATTATCTCGGTATATGATTATCTTATTGTGTTTGGCTTTAGATGTAGCATTCCCTTCTAGGAATTTTGACTAGGGAATTAAAATATTTCTATATTTAAAAAAAAATCCTTAAAAAAATGGAAGGGAATCAAAGCCAAGGACTGTGGACAATGCTTAGAAGCTCCAGAAGGAATGTAGCCTGTGACACTTTGATTTCAGCCCAGTGAGACTCAATTATCGAAATTGGTGCTGTATACATTCCTGAGCACAACTTCCCTAGGAAACAGTGATGTTCTAGATGATGAAGAAAATGCATAGTCCAGGAGGCCGTAAACTAGGTGCCAGAATATGTGTTCCTGACACAGTTACTCATACAAAAAAAAAGGAAAAAAAAAAAAAAAACTCTCAAAGACCTCTTCCCCGCTTCATTTAAAACCTATCCTTTATCAATATATGAAGGATGATCTGTACAGTGGGGGAAAAAAAAACACACTAAAATTCTAATTAAAAAAGAATGCATAGGTAACTCTTTAATGCAGTCCTAGAGAGATTTTCAGGTTAAAAAGATAAGCTGATTTCCTTCTTTAGAGGAGACCTTCATTAGAGATGTATTAATTTACTGTGATTGCTATAATAAATTACCACAAACATACTTGCTTAAATAACACAAATTTGTTATCTGTACAGTTCTAGAGGCCAGATGTCTACAGCGGGTCTCACTTTGGACTAAAATCAAAGTGTCATCAGACCACTATCCTTCTGGAGGCAGCTTCTAGGTGCTGTCCACATCCCTTGGCTGTGTTCCCCTTCCATTTTCAAAGCCAGCAATGGCTCGTCAAGTCTTTCTCGCTCTGTATCACCCTTTGTTCCCACTTCTGCTTTTTTCTTGCACATTTAAGGAGCCTGCGATTACACTGGACCCATCAGTTAATTTAGGATAATCTCCTAATTTAAAAAGTAGCTGAGGGCCTCCCTGGTGGTGCAAGAGGTTAAGATGCAGTCTGTGAAGCTGTCCACAGCCACTGCAGCACGAGTTTGATCCCTGACCAGAGAGTTACCCACATGGCTCGGCAGACATCTCCTGTCTCGCCCGCTGCTCCCCTCAGCAGTGTATTTCAGTCAATCTGCATGTTCTGTTCTGCACTCTGTCTCTGGTGAATCCTCTCACCCCCCTTTCACATCGCTGGCCTGTACCCCAGTTCTTGTATGCATAAATAAATCTTTAAAAAATAATAAGTAAAAATATAAAGTAGCTGATTACAAATCTCAATGTTATCTGAAACCTTAATTTCCCCTTACCATGTAATATAACTTCACAGCTTCCTGGGCTTAGGATGTAGACCTCTGGAAAGTGGCCATTATTCTCCTGCCACATGGGGGGAAATAAGTTTTCAGCAGGTACCTTGTGCATTCAGCATCCTTAGTCAAATAATTTAACACTATGTGCAGAATTCTTGTCCTTGCTCTGCCAGTCATTGTCTATTGAAGCAAGATGCTATATCTTCCTGTGTTTACTCAGCCTTCTCACTATGGAGTAGGGATGACAATCTAGGTTGTATATATGGTCTAAACGGGGTGATTTAAAGCTTTACCATGAATTGTTTCTAACAGTTTTATTGTTTATTGTTCTAGGAAGAAAAAATGAAAATGCCTGCAAACGAGCACCTAAAACCTGTTCTTTACTAGATAAATTCCCTGAGACAACAGGATGCAGAAGAGGACAGGTACCAAGAAGATTTTCAGGGCTGGGAAGAGCACAATTAGTTATTAGAATGAGATTAATGCTAACATTTATAAAGAAATGGTTATTTCCTTTGGCTCAGCAAATGTCTCTTTTTTTATCCCCTTTTTAATGAAACATAATTTCATGTGGCTGACGTCAGAATTGAGGGTGGAAAATGTTCAGTGTTTATCACTTGGTGGAAAATGGAAATCCTTATTTTTAGCTCCTTCACAAAGAAATAAGATGAATATAAATTCTGAGTCTTACCAAGACTCTAATCCAAATTGACAGTAATTTTGTATTGTCACTTTAATTTAGCAGTTACTCCACACCTTGATAAATGGATGAATGGTGTGTTATATTTTCTTTGCAGATCAAATATTCTGTCATGCATCCAGGAACTCACGTGTGGCCTCACACGGGGCCCACAAACTGCAGGCTCCGAATGCACCTGGGCTTAGTGATTCCCAAGGAAGGCTGCAAGATCCGCTGTGCCAACGAGACCAAGTATGTTTCCTCACCTCATTTTCTCTCTCATTCATCACCTCTGAGCATAGCTGTTCATTGCAACAAAGCTATGTTCAGTTGGATAATTTCTCTTCTGTTGTAGCTGAAGTAGACTGGGACAGGTGATACTCATCCGGACTTTAGTCTTTGTCCCTCCTTTGTGCTTTCTGTTGGGATAATCCCCAATTCTAGGGTTGCCTTCCTTAATCATTTCTCCCCAGCCCGCTTTCATCAGATTGATGAGCCTTCTTGCTTCTCTTTCTGGACGAACAGACTTGCATTCAAAGTCAGCTAACTTTTGTTGAGTCTTGCACATATTACACATTGTGCTTATTGATTTATGACTTGAACTAGTCACACATACAAAGAGCTCCCTTTTCCTGAAGAAAACCCCAGGTGTTACCTACAGATTTGGCTCTAGAGAAATCAAAGTGGTAAAATGGAAGCTGGTTGCCTTTTTCAAATCCCAGCTCCACCAACTAGTCCTGTGTAACCTCGGCCAGTTGTTTAATCCCCGCAAGACACATCCTCCTTACTTAGGAAATGGGTAGTGATAACTACTTTGCAGGATTATTGTATAGTTAAGATGAAATCATGCACATGAGGTACTTAACCCAGGTCTTGGCACCAACAATGACATGGTAAATGTTAGGGCGTTTCTCTCAAGCCTTTTCCTAATCCCCTGGAAGCCTGTCTTTTCAGCCATCCAAAATAAACCTATTACTAAGATTCAGTTTAGTTTCATAAAAAGGAACCTCTCTTTTAATTTCTATGGACAGTGTATCTTCACAGTAATTCTGTTCCCTATCTTCCCTTGCTTTTTGTTAATTGTATGTATCAGCCTGATCTCTATGATTGAGCCATAAGCTCCTGGAAGGCAGACGCAAAGTGGTCTTACAAGCCTCTCGTGGCTCTTAACAGAGGTTGACATTCAGGATGTTGAGGAGTGGGCTGTCTCTCAGTTGTTATTGGCAAGTTCCTGCCCGCCCTGGGCATGGCACAGCAGCGTAAGTGCTGTGACAGATTCACTGATGAACCAGATGGGGCCTACCCTCCAGATGTGCCCAATGGGAAATCACACAGCTTAAATGACATATGAATTATAAAAGTGGCACAGATAAAAATGCTACAGATGGGTCAGTGGGCAGGTAGGTGATTTGCCACTGAGGCTTGGGAATCTTGATAGCAGTGGTTTTTAAAGACAGGAAGGATTTGGATTGTAAGCTTTGAGAGAGAAATGAAAGGAACAGCATCTGCTAAGATACAGAAGCCAAAAATTACAGACTACAGATGAGCAGTTTTGAGAGATTTCAGCAACCAAGAATGTAGGCTAAATAGTAAACTGAGGGGCCTCCCTGGTGGCACAAGGGGTTGGGCACAGTGCTATGGAGCTGTCCACTGCAGCACGAGTTTGATCCCCGGCTGGGCCAGCGAGCTACCCACATGGCGCAGCAGACCTCTCCTGACTCACCTGCTGCTCCCCTCAGCAGTGTATTTCATTCAGTCTGCCTGTTCTGTTCCCCACTCTGTTTCTGGTGAATCCTCTCACCCTCCACACCTCTGGCCTGTACTCTAGTTCTTGTATGCATAAATAAGTAAATCTTTGAAAAAAATAGTAAACTGAGGCACATTAAATTTTTAAGTGTGTATGTGAGTGTACATTGATTTGACTCAGGCAGCACTTCACCAACAGGAGCTGAGGGCCACATTTTTCTAGAGAAGACCCTGAAGCAAAGAAATTATTTGATTGATTGTAGTTTAAGCAGTTGCCTTATTTGGGAGAGAGTAATTGACTATTTGTGATTTGCTGTTTCCAAGTTTCATGTTCTCAGATTCAAGTGCATTGATTCTGGTTTAGGTTTTGGTTTTCTTGCATGGGCATCCCCAAGGCTTTAGTGCCATCCCAGTCTAATGGCCTCCTTATTTGAATACTAAGGTTGAAATGCAAAGGAAACTAAAGTACAGAGGGCTTTGAATACTAACTAATGGGATCAGACCTGTGTTAAGAAGTTATTCTGAATTCCTGCTGTAAGTGACACCATCTGGTATTCAGAATAACTTCTTTTTTTTAAAGGTATAATCTTTCTTTTTTTTTTTTTTTCAAAGATTTATTTATTTATTTATACAAGCACTGGGTACAGTCAGAAGCGCGGGAGGGTGAGAGAATTCACCAGAGCCAGAGCAGGTTGCAGAGCAGGCAGAAGGACCGAAGTACACTGCTGAGGGGAGCAGCGGGCGGCAGGAGAGGTCTGCGCGCCATGTGGGACCCTCCTCCTGTGGCCGGGGAGCAGCTGGGGATCGAACCAGTGATGCAGAGGCTGCGGGCAGCTTCGCAACCCAGTGCTCAACTGATGCATAACTTCTTAACACAGGTCTGATGCCATTAGTATTCAAAAACCTAAGTAAGGGACCAGGAAAAATATAATTATAATAAAGTAAAAATCAAAATCAACAAGCAACTATAAACCAGAGATACACTACGGGAGTGGTGAGGGGTGGAGGAGGGAGTGGGATCAAAACAAGGGGGGGTGGGAATTGTATGGGGACTATAACCAAGATGAAAATGCATACATTGTGCAAAAATGAAAAATGATGTAAAACATACATAAAATTAAAAAAAAAAAAGGTATTCTGGGAGCTGTGAGTGCATCCCATGGGGTAGATGGGAAGAACAGACCATCACAGAGGCCCACTCAAGCAGAGCTGTCATTGGGGTGTGGAGAGTGTAGATAGAAGAGGCATTGGGAAGACTGACTCAAATGAATCTTGTGTTTATGTGGTACAAGGGAGAGGGAGTTGAAGATGACTCAGTGGTTTCCGTTTTAGGAGGGTGTTGATGTTTTAGCAAATATTGAGAACTTAGGAGGCATGCAGAGCATTCGGTGGAATGGATAATGAGTTCAGTGTTTGTATATAGTTAAGTTGCTTTTGGAACACAATTCTGAAAATATCCAGGAGAAATCAAATCTAAACATAAAGATTTGAGAGGAACTTAAGACAGAGAAAGAAGACCTGAGGAGATGGGGCAGGAAACAGCAGTCTCCTGAAAGGACTAGGAAGAAGAATCAGAAATGTCTGGATAGGGAATCATTTTCTTCCAAGATGGAATAGATCTGTCCTGACTTTGGGAAGTTGATTTTCATCTGCAAGGTCTTCTGCCAAATGGAAAAGAGGCAGGGCCATGTCAGGGAATACAGGTTGGGGCATGCTGGGGAAGGCAGAGATGGAAAAAACCAGTTCCATGGAGATCAGATAATAGCCATGGCACAGGGATAGTGGGGGTGAGCAGCAGACCTTACTCCTAAGTGTGTATCTTAGGATTTTCAATTTATTTGTTTGCTGTCTCTCTTTTTCCCTCCCTCCTCCTCTCTGCTTTGTAAAGCTTCCTGTCTGTTCTTCTTGTAGATAAAGTAGTCTCCATTTTGCCTAGTTTCCTTTTACCCTCATTGAAGCTTGGTGTGAAAATATTAGTGCAATATTTTGAATGACAGACCACAATCACCTTTTATTACTGTATGTTATAATTATTCTATTTTACTATTAGTCACTCTTGTTATCTCTTACTGTGCCTAATTTATAAATTAAACTTTATTATAGGAATGTGTGTATAAGAAAAACCATAGTATATATATATTGGGTTCTATCTGCAGTTTCAATCATCCATTGGGGGTCTTGGAACATATCCCCCATGGATGAGGGGACTGCTATTTCCAAAAAAATCACTAGATAAAAATCTGCTTTGGGGCCTCCCCGGTGGCGCAGCGGTTGAGCGCTGGGTTGCGAAGCTGCCCGCAGCCTCTGCAGCGCTGGTTCGATCCCCGGCTGCTCCCCGGCCACCGGAGGAGGGTCCCACATGGCACGCAGACCTCTCCTGCCACCCGCTGCTCCCCTCAGCAGTGTACTTCAGTCCTTCTGTCTGTTCTGCTCCCGGCTCTGGCTCTGGTGAATTCTCTCACCCTCCCGCGCTTCTGACTGTACCCAGCCAGTGCTTGTATAAATAAATAAACAAACAAATAAACAAATAAATAAATCTTTAAAAAAAAAATCTGCTTTGGAACAGGTGGGGAAAAACAAAGGTACAGAATTGATTCTAGGCATTAGTGGCTCCAGGTGATGAGACCCCAGGCTGGAGGAGTGGGTTTGGCAGTCAGGAAGGGGAGCAGGTGGTCAATGTGGCAATCTAAACAAGAAGCCCAGGAGGGAAGTCTGGGAAGCAGAGACCCTTACCTCCACCCCCCTTCTACCTCCACCCCAGAACCACATGTAAAAGTGCATTCTCCACCTCGGACTCCAGCAAACACCCTGGAATCATGTTTGACTAAGGAAATGACTGCCAAGATCGCCCCTCAAGTTTAAAGCATGATTAAGTTAACTCTCTTCACCTGGAGCCCTCGGTGGCTTTTTCAGGTTTTTATGAGCTTATTTTTTTTTAAGGTTTTTTTTTTTTAAACAAGAGCTGGGGTACAGGCCAGAGGCACAGGAGGATGAGAGAATTCACCAGAGACTGAGCAGGGAACAGAAAAGGCAGACGGACTGAAAATACTGCTGAGGGGAGCAGCGGGCAAGACAGGAGAGGTCTGCTGTGCCATGTGGGTATTTCCCTGGCCGGCCGGGAATCGAACTGCACTACAGAGGCCACTGACAGCTTCATAGCACTGCGCTCAACCCCCTGCACCACCAGGAAGAGCCTTTTATGTGCTTTTTACATCATTTGTAGTGTGGCAATGAAGTGTGGGCTGGCAGGCCTCCCAGCCCCCAATGAAGCTTCACTCTTTCTGGGCTCTCTGGTGTTCTCTCATGGTGTCCCTGCTGTCTCTGCTTCTGCTACCCTATTCTCTGTTTCTTTACTGCTATGGTTCTGCTTCTTCTACCACTGTTGGCGTCCCTGTGACACCACCCTTATATGCGCAGTTTTTCAGCCCAGGTGCGCCCACTTACACATGCCCACGCCCTACTCCAGGTGCTGCCATTGGGCACGCATGCAAGACCACAGGTGTCTG